ACAATAATTATAACAATGCAATGTTAGGAATGACCATCACATATACGGATTTAGGTACAGAGACCACGTAAAACATATCAGCCAAATGTTTGTCACAAACAAGCTACAATATTATATTATGCAGGATGACTCAACAGCTTAAAGCCACACATTGGCTGCGAAGTCTAGATAGTAGTACGCCCCAAAGAATCTCCATGAATATCAGAATAGAGGTCAGTAATGGGACTTCATGTTCAGCGATTCCCCTTATTGTTCTGGTAGCAGGGGAATTTTACCTGAAATAGTAAACCTGGTAGAATGGTCTGGGGACTGAAGGACCTTCCAATGTCATTTAAAATACTTACAATAACCAGCATCAAGGTTACTTGGAGCATATGAGCCTTAAATAATAGCTTTTATTGCAGAAAGGTAATTATAATGTTCCCCTTCACAGCAGGGAAACCTATACGGAGGCTGTGTCCTCATAGTAACTCGTACATAGAGCCTATAGTGGGTACATATACTGAGGCTGTGTCCTCATAGTAACTCATACATAGAGCATATAGTGGGTACATATACTGAGGCTGTGTCCTCATAGTAACTCATACATAGAGCATATAGTGGGTGCATATCCTGAGGCTGTGTCCTCACAGTAACTCATACATAGAGCATATAGTGGGTACATATACAGAGGCTGTGTCCTCATAGTAACTCATACATAGAGCATATAGTGGGTACATATACTGAGGCTGTGTCCTCATAGTAACTCATACATAGAGCCTATAGTGGGTCCATATACTGAGGCAGTGTCCTCACAGTAACTCATACATAGAGCATATAGTGGGTACATATACTGAGGCTGTGTCCTCACAGTAACTCACACATAGAGCATATAGTGGGTACATATACTGAGGCTGTGTCCTCACAGTAACTCATACATAGAGCATATAGTGGGTACATATACTGAGGCTGTGTCCTCATAGTAACTCATACATAGAGCATATAGTGGGTACATATACTGAGGCTGTGTCCTCATAGTAACTCATACACAGAGCATATAGTGGGTACATATACTGAGTCTGTGTCCTCATAGTAACTCATACATAGAGCATATAGTGGGTACATATACTGAGGCTGTGTCCTCATAGTAACTCATACACAGAGCATATAGTGGGTCCATATACTGAGGCTGTGTCCTCATAGTAACTCATACATAGAGCATATAGTGGGTACATATACTGAGGCTGTGTCCTCATAGTAACTCATACACAGAGCATATAGTGGGTACATATACTGAGGCTGTGTCCTCATAGTAACTCATACATAGAGCATATAGTGGGTACATATACTGAGGCTGTGTCCTCATAGTAACTCATACATAGAGCCTATAGTGGGTCCATATACTGAGGCAGTGTCCTCACAGTAACTCATACATAGAGCATATAGTGGGTACATATACTGAGGCTGTGTCCTCATAGTAACTCATACATAGAGCATATAGTGGGTACATATACTGAGTCTGTGTCCTCATAGTAACTCATACATAGAGCATATAGTGGGTACATATACTGAGGCTGTGTCCTCATAGTAACTCATACATAGAGCATATAGTGGGTACATATACTGAGGCTGTGTCCTCATAGTAACTCATACATAGAGCATATAGTGGGTACATATACTGAGGCTGTGTCCTCACAGTAACTCATACATAGAGCATATAGTGGGTACATATACTGAGGCTGTGTCCTCATAGTAACTCATACATAGAGCATATAGTGGGTACATATACTGAGGCTGTGTCCTCATAGTAACTCATACATAGAGCATATAGTGGGTACATATACTGAGGCTGTGTCCTCACAGTAACTCATACATAGAGCATATAGTGGGTACATATACTGAGGCTGTGTCCTCATAGTAACTCATACATAGAGCATATAGTGGGTACATATACTGAGGCTGTGTCCTCACAGTAACTCATACATAGAGCATATAGTGGGTACATATACTGAGGCTGTGTCCTCATAGTAACTCATACATAGAGCATATAGTGGGTACATATACTGAGGCCGTGTCCTCATAGTAACTCATACATAGAGCCTATAGTGGGTCCATATACTGAGGCAGTGTCCTCACAGTAACTCATACATAGAGCATATAGTGGGTACATATACTGAGGCTGTGTCCTCACAGTAACTCATACATAGAGCATATAGTGGGTACATATACTGAGGCTGTGTCCTCATAGTAACTCATACATAGAGCATATAGTGGGTACATATACTGAGGCTGTGTCACAGTAACTCATACATAGAGCATATGTGGGTACATATACTGAGGCTGTGTCCTCATAGTAACTCATACATAGAGCATATAGTGGGTACTTATACTGTGTGTCCTCACTGTAACTCATACATAGAGCATATGTGGGTACATATACTGAGGCTGTGTCCTCCATAGTAACTCATACATAGAGCATATAGTGGATACATATACTGAGGCTGTGTCCTCACAGTAACTCATACATAGAGCATATAGTGGGTACATATACTGAGGCTGTGTCCTCATAGTAACTCATACATAGAGCATATGGTGGGTACATATACTGAGGCTGTGTCCTCACAGTAACTCATACATAGAGCATATAGTGGGTGCATATACTGAGGCTGTGTCCTCATAGTAACTCATACATAGAGCCTATAGTGGGTACATATACTGAGGCTGTGTCCTCATAGTAACTCATACATAGAGCATATAGTGGGTACATATACTGAGGCTGTGTCCTCACAGTAACTCATACATAGAGCATATAGTGGGTACATATACTGAGGCTGTGTCCTCACAGTAACTCATACATGAGCATATAGTGGGTACATATACTGAGGCTGTGTCCTCACAGTAACTCATACATAGAGCATATAGTGGGTACATATACTGAGGTGTCCTCATAGTAACTCATACATAGAGCATATAGTGGGTACATATACTGAGGCTGTGTCCTCACAGTAACTCATACACAGAGCATATAGTGGGTGCATATCCTGAGGCTGTGTCCTCACAGTAACTCGTACATAGAGCCTATAGTGGGTACATATACTGAGGCTGTGTCCTCATAGTAACTCATACACAGAGCATATAGTGGGTGCATATCCTGAGGCTGTGTCCTCACAGTAACTCATACATAGAGCATATAGTGGGTGCATATCCTGAGGCTGTGTCCTCACAGTAACTCATACATAGAGCATATAGTGGGTGCATATACTGAGGCTGTGTCCTCATAGTAACTCATACATAGAGCATATAGTGGGTACATATACTGAGGTTGTGTCCTCATAGTAACTCATACATAGAGCATATAGTGGGTACATATACTGAGGCTGTGTCCTCACAGTAACTCATACATAGAGCATATAGTGGGTGCATATACTGAGGTTGTGTCCTCACAGTAACTCATACATAGAGCATATAGTGGGTGCATATCCTGAGGCTGTGTCCTCACAGTAACTCATACATAGAGCATATAGTGGGTGCATATACTGAGGCTGTGTCCTCATAGTAACTCATACATAGAGCCTATAGTGGGTACATATACTGAGGTTGTGTCCTCATAGTAACTCATACATAGAGCATATAGTGGGTGCATATACTGAGGCTGTGTCCTCACAGTAACTCATACATAGAGCATATAGTGGGTGCATATACTGAGGCTGTGTCCTCATAGTAACTCATACATAGAGCATATAGTGGGTACATATACTGAGGCTGTGTCCTCACAGTAACTCATACATAGAGCATATAGTGGGTACATATACTGAGGCTGTGTTCTCATAGTAACTCATACACAGAGCATCTAGTGGGTACATATACTGAGGCTGTGTCCTCATAGTAACTCATACATAGAGCCTATAGTGGGTACATATACTGAGGCTGTGTCCTCACAGTAACTCATACACAGAGCATATAGTGGGTGCATATCCTGAGGCTGTGTCCTCACAGTAACTCATACATAGAGCATATAGTGGGTGCATATACTGAGGCTGTGTCCTCATAGTAACTCATACATAGAGCCTATAGTGGGTACATATACTGAGGCTGTGTCCTCACAGTAACTCATACACAGAGCCTATAGTGGGTACATATACTGAGGCTGTGTCCTCACAGTAACTCCTACACAGAGCATATAGTGGGTGCATATCCTGAGGCTGTGTCCTCACAGTAACTCATACATAGAGCATATAGTGGGTGCATATACTGAGGCTGTGTCCTCATAGTAACTCATACATAGAGCCTATAGTGGGTACATATACTGAGGCCGTGTCCTCATAGTAACTCATACATAGAGCCTATAGTGGGTACATATACTGAGGCTGTGTCCTCATAGTAACTCATACATAGAGCCTATAGTGGGTACATATACTGAGGCTGTGTCCTCATAGTAACTCATACATAGAGCATATAGTGGGTAAATATACTGAGGCTGTGTCCTCACAGTAACTCATACATAGAGCATATAGTGGGTACAAATACTGAGGCTGTGTCCTCATAGTAACTCATACATAGAGCCTATAGTGGGTACATATACTGAGGCTGTGTCCTCACAGTAACTCATACATAGAGCATATAGTGGGTACATATACTGAGGCTGTGTCCTCATAGTAACTCATACATAGAGCCTATAGTGGGTACATATACTGAGGCTGTGTCCTCATAGTAACTCTTACATAGAGCATAGAGTGGGTACATATACTGAGGCCGTGTCCTCATAGTAACTCATACATAGAGCATATAGTGGGTACATATACTGAGGCTGTGTCCTCATAGTAACTCATACATAGAGCCTATAGTGGGTACATATACTGAGGCTGTGTCCTCACAGTAACTCTTTACAGGAAGTGTTTAGGAAGGCTTTAAAGCCACATGCAGGGAGGTGTGACTAGGGCTGTATAAACGGCTTAATTGAGCTAAAGTTGTTTTGGTGACTATAGTGTCCGTTTACTCAAGGGCAAGTGATTTGCAGTACCTGTCTGCTGTTTAGCCTCTTAATCCATATGGAAGCAGCAAGGGTGCACTTAGTTTTTTTACACATGGCTTCTCCATTTTGGCTTGATTTTTGTTAAATCATGAAATTGTATATATTATGTGTTGTTGTTAATCAACGGTTATATTTACCTAATTTTAAGAACTGCAAAGGAACAATGATTATTATGTCCTGACATGTAAAGCCATAGAATTCAAATAAGGTATACTTTATTTTTTCCATGACTGTGTGTGTGTGTATGTATGTATGTATATATAATATGCATGTGTGTGTCCTTCACCTTTTAATTCTTCATTGTATCAAGACTGCCATTGCTGGTTAAAGTCTATACACCCGGATCATGGATAACGATGACAAGTAATGCTTGTTTTATTTTATCAGAATTTACAGAAAAGAAGTAACAGCCATATGGACTCTGTCTACTCCAGGTAATTACCCTCCAGTGAGTGTGCTGCTCAGGTAGTGTGTGTTATAGGAGTTGTGGAGACCTGCAGTGAGTGTGCTGCTCAGGTAGTGTGGGTCACAGGAGGTGTGGGGAGTTGCAGGTGTGGCGAAAGGGACCTCGCCACTAGTTTTTGGAGGGGACTGATTGCCAGCCTCATGCCTTGGGACTATGGCCCCTGGGAGATTGGGCACTTTAAAAACAGTATTGGGGCTTATGGACTTCTATTGGACTGTGTATGGCCCTTGCTAAACTTTAACCCCATGGCAATTTTATTCTGTTCGTGAGATCTGAGCGCTGTTCGGATATATTGAATGTGGGGGTTCTGTTCAGTACAATAGGAATTATGTATTTTTGTGTTTTTACTGTTGTTGTGAATAGATATTTTCTGTATGCTGGAGATAATTGGCTTACCACACCAAAGCCATGCTTGCAGTCGGTCAAAAGGGACTTCCAACTAACTTTTGAACCACTGGACCAATTTGTATGATTTTGACATATGTTTGTATTTGGATTATGCAGATTCTGAAAATGTATTCATTTTATGTGAATGTGATGTATACTTTAAA